TACTGTTTTACTGTTAAGTAGGCCTTTGGTAATCACGGATTACTGGCCGGTTACAGTGCTAAACCCATAGCGGCAGGTTTGGGTCGTGATAGCAAAATTCAAATAACATATATATATATATATATATAGAGAGAGAGAGAGATAGAGAAAACAAAGAAGTTTAAGTAATGATGGGTATGGGGAAGGTAGCGGGAATGGTGACTGTTCATGGTGGGGTAAGTCGTTCAATGAGGTGATGAAATAATAGAGAATGTTCTTCAACAAGTTCTGTTTATGAACACTATTTTACCCCCCTTCTCTCTCTCTCTCTCTCTCTCTCTCTCTCTCTCTCTCGTTTTGCCTTCAATAGTGGACACCATCTCCGTATTGATTTCTTTTTTCCGGCAATATTTGAGTGTTGATAGTGGTTGTAGTAGAAACAAGGTATGGTGTTGTGTAGGGGATTTAGGTGTTGATTTGGTGATAATAAGTCTAGTAGAAGTGACACAGATGTGGTAGAAGTTCTGAAAATATCTAATTATTTCAAAAGTTAACAATCGATTAACGGTGTATTTGGCTGAGGGATTTATGAAGGGATTTGGAAATAGAAAAGGAAAAAAGGTGGATGAAATGTGAATAAATTTTATTCAAATTTCACCTAGTTTCGCACATTTTTTTATTTTTCCTTTCCAAATCATTTTCCTAATCCCCCAACCAAACACAGTGTAAGAGTTTTTTTTTTTTTCCCAGTAAACCGGTGCCGAATGAAAAATCAACAAAAATCAAAGAAAAACCCATAGGTCATTTTCATACATTAGGTGTATGGAAGAGGGTTTTAAACCAAATGGATAAATGTGCATAGAATAAGGATTTATGTGATGTGTGTAAAAGGATATGAGTTAGGGTATAATTAGAGCATAAAGTGTATGGAATGAGAACAATAATCAATAACTAAATTAATAAGTGTGTGCAAATGATATACACTAAGGTAAATAGATCTGTGAAAATATAATTTCCCAAGGGTAAATTATAATTTAACGCCCTGTGGTTTGCCTAAAAAATACGGAGCCCCCCGATAGTTTCATTTGTAACACTTAAACCCCTTATACTTCATACCAAAGTGCAATTTTAGACGAAACTATTTGTTTAAACATAACGTGTGTTGCACGATCATGAATAGTGAGCGGAGCAGCTTTTCTCACCCAAAAACATATGACAAATGACCAAAACACCCTTATTGCCATATACATACACAGAATTGTGTAGTACAATAGAGCATGGGTTATACTCTTGGACCATCACACAGGTTCTTTCTCCCTCGTTATATAAATATGCAATATCATCACCTTCCATGCAAAACCACCACCATCACCTTTTATTTATCCTCTCATTTCACCACCATCACATTCCATGCAAAATCACAACCAACTAATATCACCACCATCATATTCTATGCAAAACCACAACCAACTTCTTATTCCATGCAAAACCACCACTCAAAATCACCACTACAACTTCTCTCTCTCTAAAAACTATCCACAACCAACTTCTTATTCCATGCAAAACCACCACTCAAAATCACCACCTCAGCTTCCCTCTCTAAAAATTATCTAAATCCACTTTTCTTCTTATAATTCAAATTAGTAACAAACCCAACCCATGAAATCAAATAATTAATATGTGTAAACATTTAGATTTTTGAAATAGCATTGATGGGATTCATACCAACCAAACCCATTTTTTCTTTTTGTTTTTGACATTTCTTTGGCCCATCTTTCGAATTCCATGATTTTTGTGATTCTTAACGACTTTATCTCATTCTTTCACAAATCTCCTCACCTTGCATTATACTTCATCCTATGCTACCTTGGTTTTTCACTTATTCTTGAAATGGGTGGTTTCGGCATACCAAAAGTTGTCCGAAAACTAACTTTACACATTTTAAAGAAACATCTCTAAATCTATTTCTTTATTTTTCATCGTCCACCTTCTTTTGTTGCTTCATCTATAGCACTTTGTAAAGGGTGGTTCTTGGTTTTGACGAAACTGGGCAATAGTGGTAATGATGGTGGTCACGGTGAGAGAAAAGATATATATATATATATAGAGAGAGAGAGAGAGAGAGAGAGATACGAAGTAATACAAGATCACTTTTCCTTATACAAGATAACTATTAAAATATGTATTATATATATCAATTAATATGTATGCATATATATCATATATGTACAATTGAAACTACCCATCAATTATTTCATATGTATTATTTATGTGTTATATATCATATATGTATATCATATATCAAATATGTATTATATATATCAGTTAATATGTATATCATATATGTATAATTTAAATTATAGAGAGGGAGAGATGGGTATTTGTTTGGGTCTAAATTCTAGAGAGAGAGAGATATGTATTTGATGATGGTATGAGAGGTGTGTGGTTTGCCATGAGATGAGAAAGAAGAAGAAGTAGGAAAAATAAGCCAACAATATCAGTTAATATGTATATCATATATGTATAATTTAAATTATAGAGAGGGAGAGATGGGTATTTGTTTGGGTCTAAATTCTAGAGAGAGAGAGATATGTATTTGATGATGGTATGAGAGGTGTGTGGTTTGCCATGAGATGAGAAAGAAGAAGAAGAAGAAGAAGAGGAATACAAAAAATTTAAAGAAAAATCAGAGAATATTATGGTTTGTAATGGCATTAAGAAGAAAATTAGAGAAATAAATAAGGGTAATTTAGACTTTTTATATTTTTTGTTACGTCTGTCCAAAATTATACTCTGGTATGAAATATAAAGAGTTTATGTTACAAATAAAACTACAAGGGAACTCCGTATTTTTTGGATAAATCACACGAGTTAAGTTATAATTTACCCATTTCCCAAACAAATGGGATCTTAGGAAAATTCTATTTCCACACACTAAATTATCTTTGTATGCATCTTTTCTGAATCCACACATTTAGTAATTTGATTTTTACTTCTTTATCTCAGTCCACACACTTCACATTCCAAATATACCCTCACTTTCTCTATGCACATCATCTCCGTCCATCATTTCCCACTTTAAAAACCTTAACCCTAACTGCACCAACTACCGACGATGACGACAACGACGCAACCTCCCTCCTTCACCACGATCGATCGATCGATTTCGATGCCCACATTGGAGGATTACATGGCTACTAGTGTTATTATCTCTGTCACTTATAGAACGATGAAGAAGGTGCTTGCTGATGAAGAAAGGTTCGGCAACTAAAGAGTGCCATGACTTGCAAACGCACCTGCAACATGCCATTACTAGAAATTTTTTTTAATTTTTTTTTTATGTGTTGTAACCTTGTTTGTCTAAAACTGTTGTCTTCTCACAGTTCTCTTTCTGTCTCTCTCAAGAATTCTTGTTTTGTTTGAAGTACAATTGGTAAGTAAATTAACCATCTATCTCTATTAAAGTTCTAATAGATATATATATATTTTTTTCAGTTTCATTAATGGGTCGTATGAATTTTATACAAATTCAAATCTTTCTCTATTTTCTACCTCTCTTGACTCTGAATTTTTTTGTTTCATTGATAAGAATTTGTGGGATTTGTTGTTTGGAGTGACTGAACTGAGACTAATACAATTAGTATTCAATTCTATAAGATATTTATTATTATACAAAAGATTATAAATCAAACTTTGATTTTTTTTTCTCTTATTTTCATTGATTTTGAAAGATGGCTTGTTTTGAAACTTATTTTTGGCGTCATCAGGAGGCAATTATTAATATAGAAGAATCGGAGAGACTGGGAAGCGATATCGATCCCATAGGGACAATGATGGAGATAGAAAGAATCAGAAGAGACGGGAAATGATAGAGATGACTAGGGTAATGATGAACTGATCATTTATAGGATTCTATGCCCAGATGGGTTTATTGGTGGGTGAGATATGTTTGGTTTAGTGAGATGTGTACAGAGAAATTATGAAATGTGTAGCTGAGATGGTGATTTTATTAAAGGATAAAATTATAATTCTGAAAAAATTCATTAATCGTATGGAGTAAGGAAATTTAGGTTGCGTTTGGTAGAGTTTTGTATATATGATTTGAGAGTATGAGTTGTATTTTGAGTTTGTGAGTTGTGGAATTATGATTTGAGTGTAGAAAATTTGTTTGGTTATGGTTTTTGAATAGAGTGTTGAATTAAGTTTTGAAAGTTTGATTTGACATGTGAAGTAAGAAAATTTGTTTAATTATGAGTTTTGGAAAGAGTTTTCAAAACTTAATTCAAATTGTTATAACTCATAACATTAAAATCGTAATATTTTGAAATTAAAATATTCAAAAATATTAAAAAAATTAAAAAAATCGTAACATATTTAAATATTAAAATATTTAAAATCTTAACAAAATTAAAATATTTTTAAAATATTTAAATATTTAAAAAATTAAAATATTGATTTGAATTGAGTTTTGAATTATATGTTTGGTTATGAGTTTTAAAAAATAATTATTATGTTTTGAAAAATATGTGTAGAATTATGATTTGAAAGTTCCAAACAAACAACACACTCAAATCAGTGGGTGAAACTATAATTTGAATTGCTAAACGGAACCTTGTGAAAATTGAATTTCACGGATCCTACAGGGGGAGGGGAGCTTCTATTTACACATCCCCTTTCTCCTCTTTGCACACACTTCATAAAAATTATTTTTATTATAATTTTTTTTCAAGTAAAATTATTATTATAGACATCAAATAAACACATTCGAAAGTTGAATGTTGAAAAAATGATAAAAATTCGGAAGTCTACTTCTGAACTATTGTTTATTTTTGACAAATTACTTCCGAACCAATTGCTTATTTTCGAAATACTACTTTCGAACCAATTATTTATTAAAAAAAATATGTATAGAGTGTAATGAATGTGTGCAAATAGAAGCACCCCAGGGGAGGTAACTGTAAAAATGGGAACTGTTTATAATGACTATTCTACCCTTGCTATAAGCAGTAATTTACTGATGTTGGCCTTGAAGAGCAACAGAGCTTGATCTGAACTCCAAGAAGTTCCATGGAGGACTGTGAAGAACCACGACAGCAGTAATCACAGATTCACAGTTAGAGAGAGAGAGAGAGAGAGAGAGAGAAGCTGGTGTACAGTCCGAAGCGAGCGATGGCGGAGCTTCGGCACTCGAGCTCGATGAGCGGCCGATCGGTGTCGTCTCCTAGGAAGCGAGACGACGTAGCGTCCCCATTGGTCCCCGAGAACCTCCCCGACGACGGCCATGATCGTCACTCCAGAGATCGATTCCGCTCATTCTTCTCCACTTTCCAATCTATGTTCCCCTTCTTCGGTGTTGACGATACCAGGTTTCACCCCCATACTTCCAAGATCTCACTTTGTCTCCTCCTTCTCGTCCTTCTCGCTGGATTGATTTCCGTTTTCTCAATCCTCAATCGACTGGTAATCTTTGCAAACTCTGTGCATCTATGTATCTGTGTAGTGTTTTACTCTTGATTTGGTATCTAGTACTGTGTATATCGGCGATTTGGTTGTTTTAATTTCTAGGTTTATACATTTTACATTGAATTTTTGCAAGGTTTCAAAGGCGGTGAATTTGTAATCAATTTATTGGAGTGGATCCAATTTTCATTGGCCTGGCATGTCTAATTGGCATTTTTGTGGTCAAAGTCTGAAAATTTCATCGTCGTGATAAGAAGACGGGTTGTAGAGATCAAAGGTTTTTTTATTTTTTATTTATTTTTTTGTTTTGTTCGAAGGTTTGGATTTGTGCTCGTTGCATAGCATAGGGAAATCAATACTAGGAATCTGTAAGAGATGAGAAGAAATGAGATATTTGGAACCTGAGAAAATTAAGAAATGTTGAGTTTGAGCAAGCCTAGTAGTGCCATTTGGCCTGCTTGAGTTAAGTAGAGTTGCACTTTTCTTGTTCATTTGATTAATAAGCAATAAATTAGGCCTTATAGACACGTAACTCATGCATAATTATTTAAAAGGGTATTTGGTTACTTTGTGGTCTTGCATTTCACCATATCATTGTGAAGTTTTTTGGGATTCTCTAATATGTTCAGAGTGTTCTTTGCTTATTGCTAAATGAACTAATTTGCTATGCAATATGCACCCTTTCTGTTTCCTTTTATGTTTTAATTTTATCTTTTGGTTTGACAGTAGTAAATATATTATTGTTGACATTATGCGTTTACATTGTCGATTTTTTCACGTTGCATACGTTAGAAGGCTATGCATTCTATTGATTCTAAGAAACATGTGCCTACCTAGCTTGCTAGAAGAAAAAAATTTAAATGCTGATGTCCACTTTTATATGTTGACCATTGCAATTTACTAAACTTATTTTTTTATAATGAATCACAGAATGCTCCATACTTGTGCCAAAAAGATGGCATTGTCCTTCAGTGTCCTCGAGTAAGTTATGAGATGATAATTTGTTTTTAATACCTTAATTGGTTTTATTCTTGTAGTAACTTCTGTTATTTTTATTTTTAACTGTAATTTAACAAGGTTAAGGAGCCTCCTTCACTCTGGGAGAACCCTCATTCAGCCACCAGCTCATGGAAGCCTTGTGCTGAGCGACACAATGGTGTGATTTCAGGTAACACTAGATATTTTCTAGTTAATTTGTGGATAGTTACACTTGTGTTGATGTCAAGATTGTTTTGTCTAATGGTAGATGGAAACCTAGCAACGTGAAACTGAAGTTCTTTACTCTATGTGGCATCATATATGTTTTTTTTTTTTTTTTTTTTTTTTTTTTTTTTTAATTTAAAATTTTGTTTTTATCTGAGTGAATTGATCAATCTGTATTTGATTGTGGAAAGCTTATCTAAAATGGTGTTGGATCATGTCTGTAATACTTACCCGTTTTCCTAATGTTGTTTGACTTCCAACTCGAATCCTAACACTGTTGGTTCTAATTTTGAAGTCAGTAATCAGTAATGTGAAATATATGTGGGTTTTCTTCTTTCAATTTCTCAAATACCTCAGATTGAGGGTTTTAATGTTTTCATTTGCCAAAATAAATATCTAAAATGCTATAGGCTTATCAACTGTCAAATGAGTGCCTTAAGTCATACTTTGAATTGGATGTTGGGGACAAGAAGTTACAATACAATCCTAAATTTTGACCCAGCCTGTCTTAAAAAAACAGTTTGTATTTTAGGTCCTTGTTTGAAGTGACATAGTTCATGTATCAACCATGAACATTAGAAGTCACATGGCTTGTTGCATGTAGATATTCTTGAAGCAATTAGGGTATCTGTTGTTGTTGGTTGAATATGTCTGAAAAATTATTTTTTCAGTTAATTTTTGATTTTCCCATCTTCTTTTGATTTGTGTATATATGTATGTTCATTTGTAAAACATTAGTTTCACTTTGATCTCGAAGTTCTGCTTCCTTATTGCTATTTATTCTTTTTACACCCCTATAATTTTTCTTGGCTCACTGCAGATCTTCCACCTGAGAATGAAACAAACGGATATATATTTATACATGCCGAGGGTGGTCTAAATCAGCAAAGAATTGCTGTACGTCTTTGTTCTTTCAAGCTCTGAGGATGTATTCTTTATTGTTCTTGGTTTTCATTTTTATCGAATTGAACTTTTGTCTTTGATTTATTTTAAATTGTTTGATAAAGTAAAGTCCGATATGCCTCAAGCTATAGGCTTGTGCCTTGCTTTACTGGGGACAAAAAGTCACCTCTCCCTCTTGATTAATGAAGCTCTAGGCTATTGCTATTGTGGTCAGTATTTTTATTCAATTCTAATCTATGCTACATAAACCTCTCTACATGTGAGAAGTACTCGTGTTGGGCTTGTATGGCATGGGGTAGTTGAATTACATGGAATATGACTAGCATGTCTTGTTGAAGTAGCTGCAAACAATCATGTTTGTCAATTCAATTTACTATGTAATTGTACGTGAAAGCTGTATAATGTTTCGAATCAAGTACTGACTCAAGCAAAATCTTATTTTCTTGTCCACTTTATTGTTGTATCTTTTCTTGTGTTGGCCATAGTGCTAGCTGCTGGCTAGTTTCTTTAGTCAAGATGATCGTTTCTTTTCTTGTTTCCATGCTGTTTCTCCCCCCCCCTCCTTTTTTTTTGGGTGAATAAGTCATAAAAATTTCCCTTAAAAACTGATGGAACTTTGGATGGGTCATTTCTTTTCCTGGCCAACAAGGTCCTTCTTGATCACATACTATAATTGCATCTGTTTGCATGCAGATATGTAATGCTGTTGGCGTGGCCAAAATAATGAATGCCACCCTTATTTTGCCAGTGTTGAAGCAAGACCAGATTTGGAAAGACCAAACGTGAGTTCTCTTGACATATGGTTTTGTATACTGTATTGTACTTATTATAACACACAATTATATATATATATATATGTGTGTGTGTGTGTGTGTATGAATAGGAATGGCAACGGGGCGGCGCTGGGGACTACACTCCCCATCCCCAATCCCCGAAGGTGCTAAATTCCCCGTCCTTGCCCCCTCCCCCAAAAAATCCCCGAACTTTCCAGATCTTGAAATGGCAATTCCATTTGTTCCCATGTCTTTAAATTCAAAAATTGACACTGACATTTTTTTTATGTTTTTATTCAAAGGGAAGATTACAAGCCAAACCAAAACAACATCAAACCAAGAAAGCATATCAGAAGGCTAAACAATCTAAGCCCTTTCACAAGATATTCCAACTGGGTTGTTCACACTGCCACTACTCAAAAATCATGTAAGCCCTTTCAAAAGAAAAAGACAGGTCTCAAACAAATGAGTTGTTCACACTGCCACAACTCAAAAATATATACAGCAGCCCTATATTCCATCCATTTAGAAACTATAACCTATTCAAGCTCCACACAAAGGAGAATTGAGCAAGTTGCAAAGAGAAAAGAAAGTCCCAAGCACAGCCTGCAAGGGATAGGCTACCGAGAAAAAAAAATAAAATCCATCACAATATAAGAAAACTAAACTGTTAAATAACATATCGTTATACAATGCCACAAGTTTGAACAACCTAGCAAGCTAGCAGCCACAATAAAAAAACCAAATCCATTGTAAAAAAAAAAATAAAAAAATAAAAAAAGTAAACATTGTTTCTCCAATACTCTGATATAACTACAACTTTCATCGTCTGCTTCAACTTGAATTCCTGTTAAATAACAAAAGGAAAAAAAAAAATCAATATTAATAATAAGATGTAAAAAATGTTAACAATTAAAACAAAAAATATGGCAACTAACACAAAAGTGTCACGTGACTCATCCAAGTCGATCTCATCATCATCATATATAGTCGCATAGCCCACCGATTCCAATGTTGAATTTCCTAAAAAGTAAAGAATATAAATTAAGTATTGAAATTATTTCATGGTAATATAAAATTAAAATAATAATATGTAGATTTATTTTAGTACCTTTCATCTCTGCAGCCTACAATTAACTTTGTGCACACACTAATGCTCTATGAAGCACGGGTGCGGGTATGAGTACGGTACAGGTGCGAGTACGGATACGTAGATACGTCAAAATTTAAAAAAAGTATGATACGGGTACGGCTGCGGTACGCCGATAATTTTTCTTTTTATTTTTATAATTGTGGTTAAAGATCTAACCTACAAATTAAAATTTAATATCAAAACTAAAAAGAGGACTAAAAAAATGGTCATAACTAATATCATTTTAAAAATTAAAAATTAAAATTAAAATAATTAAAAGTTAAAAGTTTGATTTATTATTAAAATAAAATTCTAAATTATTATTATTTTTTTATAATTTTTTTTTCCCTTCAAATGGATAAGTCCGTGTATTCAAAAGGACAAGTCAGTGTGTAATTATATTATATTGTATAGACACAGAGAGAGAGAGAGAGAGAGAGAGAGAGTGTAAATAAAAGAAAGAGAATTGCAGCACCAGTTTCCCCTTCCAACGAAGACAATTGCAGCATCGAACCATTCTCTCTCTCACTCTCTCTGTCTCTCTCTCACACACACACACACAGCAAATCAACCCAACCCACCAGTAGAAATTGCAAGAAGTCCGACAATCTTAAGCCCTACGCGATCTTCTAGGTGGATTCAGATCGCTGTCTGGCCACCAAGTCTGACGACTTTGGCTCCACCCGCCCCGTCTGGAACGAGCACTTCGTCTTTCCCCTTTCCCTCCCTTTCCACGACTCCCTCCTCACCTTTCGAAATCTTTCACGCCAAACCCTCCGAGACCCCTAAGCCCTTAGTCAGCTTTCTCCATCTTGCTCTCAAGAAACTCGCTGGTAGGGATGAGGATTCGAAGGAAGAACTGAGATTGAAGATTATGATGCCCCGATAAACCAGGTTTGTATATATTTTTAATATTACAAAATAACCCTCTATTTTTTGTTTTTTTTAAATAAAGAGTATAAAAAAATTGCTTCGGTACCCTGAATCTCTTTGCAATTTGATTTTTTGCCCAGCGTATCCGAAACGTACCCACGGCGGACCCATGCTGTACCCAAATGTACCAAACGTACGGGACCCCCTCTGGCTGTACCCGGTACGCGTGCAGCCGTACCGGTATGCGTACCCGTACCTGGTACGTACCCGATACTCGTACGGCACCAAAAATGGAGTACCTGTGCTTCATTGCTAATGCTTCTAATGTGTTTGGATGAAGTCTACTACGATGTGCACTCACCAACCTTCCACTAGTACGAAATGCTGACTCAGAAGCAACAGTGGATACATGAATAGCTAAAATATCCCTAGCTATTGCCTGTAAGATTGGATACTTTGGTCCATTGGCTTTTCACCAATTCAAAACATCAAAACCTGAAGTTCTTGGCAAAACATCATTTTTTAGATAATGGTCCAACTCTGATCTTACATTCTTTATTTTTTTACTTCTCTTTCTACTAATAAACAAATCATATTCTGAAAGGCTTCTGTAACAATTTCTGGATAGATAGAAGATTCACCAACAACATCGGTGTCCATAGACTCTTCTTCTAAGTTAATAACATTTTGATTAGAGAGGGGAGATGGTGAGTTGGTTGGTGAGTTGGTAGCTGGCGATGATTGTTCTGAGGCCTCGCTCTCAAATGGTACTTGAGAGTTAATTGGTATTTGAGAGTTAACATCTGACATTTTTAACCTTTATAAAAATAATATGAAATGAATAAATAGAGGCAGCCCATCAGAAAGTAAAGCAACAACAATAGAAGATATGTAAGGAATATCTTTAGCAAGTTGGAAGATAACACGAACAACTGTGAAAACTTGAAGATCTTTCAACTATAACCAACAACACAATAATGATATTTTCAATCATTGTCCTCTAGTATATTATAATTAGAAAATTAAAATAAATAAAAAAATTACCCAACACTGAATAAATCCAATAGAAGGACCAACCATTTAAAACTAAACTATAAAACCGTTAATGCACCAATCAATACAGAGCACATACAGATGTATACACACATACAAACATTAACCACCTCCCTTTGAACTCAATTTGGAATTAGACAGCCAAAGGTAGACAACATTGAACTCTCTCTCTCTCTACACAAACACACATGCTTTCCATCTAAATTACCCGCTGTTATGATGAGTGTTGTATTCAATCAAAAGGTAGACTAAAATTCACATAGCAGATGCAGACGAAAATTCACATCTTCCATCTACAAACATGTATTTTAAATAATGAGAGAGAAATTCAACCACAATTGAACAAAAAATCACAAGCATATATGAATTAAAGTAGTACAAAAAAACAATTATCAGCCCTTGAAAAGAAAAGAAAAAAAGAAAAAGAAAAAGCAAACTACCTTTGACTTGGATCTTCAAACCTTGAGGAGAAATTATGGGGAAAACCCAACTTCCATTGTTTGGAACTAAAAGAGAGAGAGAGAGAGAGAGAGAGAGAGAGAGAGAGAGAGAGAGAGAGAGACAGACCCTATCTATATATACACAGCTTAGTCCCAAGCAAAGCACAAAAAAGGTTTCATTTTTTTTTTCTCACATCGTAAATCAACACTCTTCGATCTTCATGTATTGTACACTCAGATATATATATATATATATATATATGTATGTATGTAAATCCTAGATCAAAATCCCTAAATCGAAAATGCTAGATCGACTATTTGAAAGAAGAAAACAGAGATCGATTATTAGTTTAACGCGAGAGAGAGAGAGAGAGACCTTTGACAATCGGCGGTGAGGGAGCAGAGCAGCCGCCGTATGTGAGAGAGAGGGAGGCGATGTGTTTGTGTGTTAACCAAACCCTAAGCACACACATATATATAGACAGGGCCATAATAGTAATTTTACATCGAGGAAAACGGGTCGGGGTTGGGGTCGGGGCCGGGAAACGTATCACTGTCCCTAGCCCGAATATCATCGGGGATTCATTTTCGAATACCATCCCCGGCTCGTTGGGAATATTTTTCGAAAAAAAATTGCTCAAATTGGGGTCGGGGGGTTGGGTCCCCATCAGGTTGGGTTCAGATTGCCATCCCTATGTATGAATAAGCAATCAAGGAACTTTATCATCTCTGGAGTTGAAAGTTTCCATTACAATGAGTGTCATAACAGAAAGTATGATAATAATGAACGAACTTTGATTTTTTGTTTCCATGCGCAATATAATTTGTTGGTTTGACCAAAGAAATAGTGATATGCATCATTGAAGAACTATTTGAGAGTGCACTATATTTATGATTTGGGTGGACCTAAGCATGAGTTTTGAGCATAGATGGTTCAATGCTGGCACACAAGGACACTACCAACCCCAAAATTGAAGGCATGGAGACACATATATACATGTAATGCACAAAATGCAGTATACTTTTCAAAAGTAGAAAACATTATTCTTTTTCCGTGAAATATAATTGGATGAAGTAGAAACCACTTGAACTCACTTCTTCCAATTTTTGTATGCCTGCGCTCTGAATGCATCTGAAGTAAAAATCAAATCATTTTTTTTAAGGAACTTTGCTAATCTTTTTTTTATTTGTTATTATTTAGTGTGTTTGATTTTAGTTTTTTGAATTCAGTTTTTTGAAAATTGAGTTTTTTGTTTTTTTTTGTTTTTGGTGAATATAATTAAAATTAAAATTTTAAACAAATTTTTTTTTTTTTTACTTTTGTAGATACACCTTGCTTAGATATATCTAAATAATAAAATATTTGTGAAAAAATATTTTTAAAAATTAATAAATACACAAAAATACGAAAAATGTACTGAATTTTCGTATTGTTTTTTGTATTTATGGTATTTAGTGAATTTTTTAAAGATTTTTTTCACAAACATTATACTTTTTAAGTGTATTTATGTTAGGTGTGCTTAAAATTTTTTAAAAAAAATTGCTTAAAATATTAAAAAAAATCATTGAAAACAAAAAAATACAAAAAATAAAAAAGTAGAATTTTCTAAAAAGTGTTTTCTGGAAACCAAAACCAAACAATTTTTTTTTTAAAGTTGGTATTGAATCAGTCGGCTCCATAAGGCTAACAGCAATTTGCCAGCATACTGAATGCTTAATTGGGATGTCTTAGTCAACCATTTCTTGTGTTGAAGGGGCCTAACGATTAATTTGAGAGCTAAGCCCCCCCTATTTTTTGAAGAAACTCTCAAATTCTTTTTGACTTTCAGTTGATGGAGATTATCTTGTATGCCACTAGGGTTTGCTTGTGACAAGTTTATATCAGATAATGTAGTTTTTGCTTTCATTGTAATTTTATAAAATTTTTGCAGGAAATTCGAAGATATATTTGATGTAGAGCATTTTATTGACTACTTGAAGGATGATGTCCGAATTGTTCGTGATATCCCCGAGTGGTTTACTGATAAATCAGAGCTGTTCACTAGTATAAGGTTTGATCATTTTGTCTTTTCTCATCTTTGGTATTATTTTCTCAAGTATAATAGTGTTAGTTATCATTTATCAAAAAATAATAATAATAATAGTGTTAATTATTAAGCCTGGACTAGACAGATCCATGAATTTCTACCTTCCTTTCTCCTTCTTCTTCTTCTTCTTCTTCTTCTTTTTAATTTTTTTAATTTTTTAATTATTATTATTATTATTATTTTTTTTTTTTGGGCTTATTGCATTACTAACTCACAAAATGTCGAAAATCAAAAGACATGCAAGTTAATGATACTCTTCCCTTTCCCAATCAAAAGAGAGAAAATGTGTATTTCTTGTATTGTCCAACATCGGGTGTGAGCCCTTTATGTGAGGAATACATAAGGGGCCCTCCACCTTCCTGAAGTCAAATTAGTCCTTTTGGCTTGTGTGGTGGACCCTTACAAAACCCTTGTTGGGTATTCCCCCATTGTGAATACAAAATACCCTGTTTCTTGTTGTTAAAGGATCAAAAAAAAAGATAGAGGAAGGTTTTGTCTCCCCCACCCAACCAAACTTTCCCTGGGGGAGTTTTGATCCTTGGTTGAAGTGAACTATGTGGAAGCCTTTATTTAACAGAAGTTGTGTAAGAGGTTTTGATGTAAAGTATAAACACAGACTGAGAAAAGGGGGTATCTCTTTTATGCATAAAAATGGTATTGCCTGGATGTATTGGTTATAAAAATTTGAGTTGCTAACTTCTTTTACATTTCCAAAAGTTGCAAGGCAAATTCCCATACTTATCCAGTTCTGTTTCTTCAATTTTTCCATCTAAATTTATATGTTCTAAGTTTTAAATAAAGTTGGGATATAACATCTTCTTTTGATTGAGGTTAACTTCAAGAAAAGATCCATATCAAAGCCTTTAGAAATTAGTGTTTGACTTTTCTTTTAGAATGTTTAGTACAAATTTTCAGCTTTCATTTTTGACTTCTTTTTTAGAACTTTCAGTAATTGTCAAAGTTTACTTTGTGGTGATGTTTGTTAGAGCATCTCCAACGTTGTATATTTTATTTTACCAAATTTGAATAAAAACTCCATCTGATGTCACGTGCTCCAACGGGCTTTCATCAGAACACCGGTCGACCAGGTGGACGATCAGGAGGATGTCTGGCCGGTTGACTGGCTAGTGTCATTTTTTCACAAATTTTTGCAAGGAGGTAGTCATCCGGGTGGACATCCGGCAGGACGTACAGTTGGTTGTCCGGTGATGCAAATCCAACAACTATGAACAGTGAAATGATGAAAAGTCCTAGGCGTCCTCAATTTGGTAAAAGATTTATGATATCTTCGATTTGATACTCATCTGATGAAACCATTAGAACAGGAAAAATGATGGAATTTGATGAAAGAATTGATGATACGTTGGAGATGGTCTTACTTAACTCTTCAAACCTCAGAATAGTTCCAGAAATGGAACTTCTAAGATTTTTATGAGTATCATGATGTTCCACTTGGCACAAATGTCTCTAAAAGATCTTGCCATTGCTTGATAGACGGACAGTTAAAAACATCCCCAAGTATGCTCCAGCACAATTCTACATTGACAACGTCTTGCCTAGGGTCAAGGAAAAGAAGATAATGTCCCTAAAACCTTTTGTTGATCGACTCGGGTAAGTTGTGGATGTTGTACGGATCTATCACCAAAACGGGCTTTGTTTATATTCTTTTAAGGTAATTTATTTTTAAGTTGTTATTCTGAGTCTTTCTTGTTCAGGTATGACAATGTTCCTCCAGGAATCAACAAGCTAAGGTGCAGGGTGAATTATCATGCTCTGAAATTTCTTCCCCATATTGAACAGATGGCTGATCTACTTGCATCAAGAATGAGAAACCGCACAGGCAGTTCAAATCCTTACATGTAAGTGGCTTGGGTATGTTCCTTGGTGAAACTTGGCTCAACCATATAGTTTGATTTGTTTTATTTTTTCACTTGCTGTAAGACTCAAATTTCTTCCTTAACAGGGCTCTCCATCTTAGATTCGAAAAAGGGATGGTAGGCCTATCATTCTGTGATTTTGTGGGAACAAGGGAGGAAAAAGCTTTAATGGCATTATATAGACAGAAAGAATGGCCTCGACGGTTTAAGGTGACCTAGAGCTTAATTTTCTTGTTGGTTTCTTGGGACTAGAACTGAAGAGACGTGGATGTGTGATATGATTTTTTTTCTTTGTGGTGATTTGGCCTGCAGAATGGTTCCCATCTATGGTCTTTGGCCCTGCAAAAGCGGAAGGAAGGACGGTGCCCTTTAGAGCCTGGAGAAGTAGCAGTCATTCTTCGGGCGATGGGCTATCCCAAAGAAACTCAAATTTATGTTGCTTCTGGGCAGGTTTATGGTGGACAGAACCGCATGGCACCTCTCAGGAACATGTTCCCAAATCTTGTAAGGCGTTTTACTTGATTTCTTGTGCGATCCCTTGTTGCCATCTGAAATATAAAGCATAGCTACCATTTTCAAAATTTACATTGCCAAAATCTCACTAAGCCAATTTTTGCTACTCTTTAGTGCTTCTAAGAAACTTTAGCTTAAGTTAGACGATGATTTTGTACAAGTATGCAATTTAGTATTAGATTATTAGAAGTGTGCCATAGAAATCAAGTTGTTCACATTTTTAAATAGCAAATTGAGCATGAAACTTTATGAGTTCTTACTTTCCTTTTTCTTATTCGTTTGTTTGTGTGTTCGTGTATTTCAAATTGGATCTTTGAAATGAATATTCATGTTTTATGTAGAATCATCTCTAGAATGTCATCAAATGATGTCGCCTAAGTTTCTTCTTATTGATTTTGTGATGAATTGCAGAGGAAACATTATGGAAATAGTTATATTGCCAATGTATTTCTGATTCTGTTTGGTGTCAGTAAATGAACCTACTGCCCAGTTGTCTCTGATTATATTTTATTTGTATTCTTTACTCGAATTTTGTAGTTCATATGATTATGTTGGGTGTTTCTAACAGGTCACAAAGGAGGAGTTGGCAAGCAAAGAGGAGTTGGATGGCTTCAGGAAGCATGTGACAAGCTTGGCAGCACTCGACTTCTTGGTCTGCTTGAAGTCCGATGTGTTTGTGATGACCCATGGTGGCAACTTTGCGAAACTGATAATTGGGGCTCGTAGGTACATGGGTCACCGGCTCAAGTCCATAAAACCAGACAAGGGACTTATGTCCAAATCTTTAGGGGACCCCTACATGGGCTGGGCCACCTTTGTGGAAGATGCTATCATCACCCACCAGACACGGGCAGGATTGCCTGAAGAAACCTTTCCTAACTACGATCTCTGGGAGAACCCTTTGACTCCCTGCATGTGTAGAGCCTGACCACGATAGTTACTCATTTTTTAAAATACACTTGAGAATTGGTCTGTGCAAAGATTTCTGAGTCTCCCTATTTCAATTTTAGGAGATGGTTGAATATTAATTGGAAATTGTGTCAGAACAGGTTTGAAGGAGCAGTTTTTTGATGCCGTCTTTGAAGATCATCGGATACGACACTCTTCCTTTGCAGTGACAACTTACAATTTTGTAGCTCATTTTTTTGTGCATGGCTGATTAATGTAAATTATGAATGTGAATTTTCACAATGTCCCTATCATGAACTTCAAAATGTCTGGAATTATTTGTATGATGACTAGTATGCATTTTACTTGACTGTAGAATTGGCAGTTTCTTTGTGTTGCTAATACCAGAGCTCCGAAAGCCAGTAAATCCGTGAAACGTATTCTTTTCACGAGGATTAGAATGAAATTTTGATAAAAGTATAAAGGTGTAAATGTAATTAACCATTCAAACATTTGACGCCCTTTGCATCTTTGACCGAAAATTATTTAGTAGCGCAAGGGCAGCACAATGGTATGTACGAGTTGTACTGTCGACCAATGAGATCAATGGCAATGACCATGATGGGTTAGGCTGACTTTATTTTTCACCAACTGATCAAAATAGGTTAAATCAAATTCTATTCATCTCATAAAAACACGCATAATAATTTGAAAATTATTGGAACAATTTTTTATGTAAAATAAATAAATTGAAATAAATAAATAAAAATAAATTACTTATAGAATTTATTTTACTGAATCGAATAAAATTTTAAAAGATCAAATCAAGTGTGTGACACTTTATTCTTAAGATAGATTCGTCCCGTTACGGTTCTTACGAATAAATGGGCTTTCAGGATACAATGAGCTTCACAAATTGTATTAACACTCTAAACAATTTATATGGCGAACCAAACCTGTATTTTATACTCTCAAAGTATTTTCCAAAAATTAATATGAAGAATTATGCAAAGAAAGAGCAAAATGGGAAGAGAACAAAATATTTTATGGATGTTTTCGGATGCAAAAAATTGCTGGAAATAGCCTTTATTTATAGGCAAACAATTTGTCCGAACAGGTGTGAATTTTGAATGAACAGATTGGTTTTGAATTCAACAGGTGCAGTTTCAAATTTGAACAGATAACTGTAGCAGTTTTGAATCTGTTTAGAAACGGCTGGGCAATTTTGAATCTGTCTGGCAGTTAAAAAACCTGTTAAACAGTTGGGAATTTAGTGGAATTTGGAGGCACAATTTTTGGACAAAAAATTTGAATTCAAATAATTTCCTACAATAATTTGAAAAATTTCAAATAAATTTTGTTCAAAAAATTAATGTTAGAATCGACCCACAACCCATACCCTTGGCCGGTCGGGCGCGACAACGCGGTTGTGGTGGTTTGAGCCTAGGTGTAATTTGTCCATAACTCATCCCTTCTACAAACTTGGGGTGCAATTTGGAGCCTAACCCAAGTGTTGTTACCTAAAACTTATATACACACATAAGTTCTTTTCAAGTTTCAATGCGGGACAAGCCTTACAAGGAAACCCACATTTATTCTTTAATTGTCCAATTCCACGAACCCGAAAACGACGTTAAGTTCTCATTCACTCATAAATGGTTTTAACGAACCGTCTTCACCGTGTGACTTGCCATGTGGTAAGGAACATGTCACCTCTTCGAACCTACCCCAAAAGACGTTTGAGACCTACTTAAATTTGGGCTCAAAGTTGGCCCGAAATAAGCCTATAAAAACCAATTTTCCAACAATCCCCCACATGAATGTAATTTGACAGAGAGAAAATGCAACAACATGATCTAATTACAGAGAGTACAAAAATTGAAAATATTCTGCAAATGATAGGTAGTTTTTTGGCTTTGAATCTTCTCTTGTGAGACACTATCGAATTTACTAGCTAATCAGTGAATATAATGTCTTGAACTGTTCAGCCATTTGTGTAAACCAAGACAATAGAACTCACACAGTATATCACCAAACACAGTTTAATTCTCACTATTGTGTTCATTTTGATTCTGAACAACCTGGTCTTTCATGATTGCTCTAGAGAATTGTAGCCCTTCACAAATCTCATAGAACCGGTCCAGTTCACACTTACATATGTGATTCTTATGAAGAGTATCCTGTCATACTCCACTAGGTTTACCTAGATATAAGAGTCATTAAAATTTTACTTAACCTAAAACGCTGTAGACATCACTATGTCATCATAGAAATGGATAGGAGTTTGACTCCCCAGTGATCCTTATGAGTCATACACAACTCGGTTGTCCTTTTGAACCTAGATATCTTGGGATCTCTAGTTAACTAGGTTGGGTTGCCATTGTGGTAACTCTTATTTAATAGACTTAAGTCTCATTCCCCTCGATGAATTTTCAACTGACTCTCTTGCTAACCCTTTGGTTAGTGAATCTGTTATGTTGTCTTTAGACTTCACATATTTAATGGAAATAATTTCTTTAGAGAGTAGTTGTCTTACGGTGTTATGTCGACGATGAATGTGTCGTGACTTACCGTTATACATATGAATCTATATTCTACCTATTGCTGATTGACTATCATAATGTATGCAAATAACAGGCATCGATTTTGGCCACATCAAAATATTTTCAAGGAAGGGGCGAAGCCATTTTGCCTCTTCCCCAACTGTATCTAAAGTTATGAATTCTGATTCCATAGTAGACCCAGTAATCCAAGTCAGTTTGGAAGATTTCCAAGATACAGTCGCACCACCAAGAGTAAAGACATACTCACTGGTGGATTTTGAGTCTTTAGTATTCGATATCCAGTTTGCATCACAGTATCCTTCAAGTACTACTAGATATCTAGTATAATTCAACCAAATGTTACGAGTAAATCGGAGATATCTTAGAACCCTTATAATTGCTTTCCAGTGTTCTACTCTCGGATTGCTCGTATATCTACTTAATTTACTTATTGTATAAGCTATATCTGGGTGAGTGCAGTTCATCAAGTATATTAAGCTTCCAATAATTTGGACATATTATAATTGAGAAATACTATCCTGTACATTCTTAGAAATAAACAAATTAACATCCATAGGTGTTCTAGCAAGATGATCATCATCTTTGTTGAATTTTTCAAGTGTTTTCTCAATGTAATGTGATTGTGACAAAGCATAACCTTCTGATGTTTTGATAATTTTCATACCAAGTATTACATCTACAATCCCCATATCATTTATGTCAAAATGTTTATTCAACATTTTCTTGATAGTTTTAATCATGTCATTATTACTACCTATGATGAGCATATCATCTACATAAAGAAATACTATAACATAACTGTTGCTAGTTTTTTAATATAAACACATTTGTCACATTCATTAATTTTAAATCCATTTGACATCATTACTTTGTCAAATTTTTCATGCCATTACTTTGGCATTTGTTTTAAACTATATAATGATTTAACCAATTTACACACTTTAGTTTCTTTTCCTGGAACAGAAAATCCTTTTGGTTGTTCCATGTAAATTTCTTCATCTAACTCACCATCTAATAAAACAATTTTTACATCCATTTGATGAATTTCTAGATTGTACAACGATGCAATAGCAATTAGCATTCTAAAGGACGTTATTCTAGTAATCGGTGAGTATGTGTCAAAATAATCAAGACATTCTTTTTGTTTAAAACATTTGACCACAAGTCTTGCCTTGTATTTGTCAATTGATCCATCCACTTTCATTTTTCTTTTGAAAATCCACTTGTACCTAAGAGGTTTACAACCTGGTGGCAAATCCACCAATTCCCAAGTGTGATTTTACAGGATGGATTCAACTTCGTTATTTATAGTTTCTTTCCATAAAGGAACCTCAGGACTGGACATAGCTTCTTTAAAAGTTGAAGGCTCATTTTCTAACAAAACTATTAGAAAATCTAAACCAAAAGATTTTGAGGTTCTAGCACGTTTACTATGCCTAAGTTCCTCTTCCTGATTTTGATCTATTTCTTGCTCTTATTCTTGATCATGTTCTTGATCCTGACTAGTAATAGCATCATGAGATCTTTTATTTGTATTAATTTCTTATCCAGTTTTATTTGAAAACACATGTTCAAAGAAAGACGCATTCTGAGATTCAATAATAGTATTTACATGCATTTCAGAATGTTCTGTCTTATGAATAAAAAATCTATATGCACTACTATTCATGACATAACCAATGAAAATACAATTAACAGTTTTAGGACCTATCTCAGTCTTTTTAGGATTAGGAATAGCCACTTTAGCCAAACACCCCCACACTTTTAAATATTTGTATGATGGTACTCTCACATGTCATATTTCATAAGGTGTTTGATTTACTTTCTTTCGAGGTACTTTATTAAGTATATAATTAGCAGAAAGTATTGCTTCTCTCCCAAGTTCTGAGGTAATCCAGAACTTATTAACATGGCATTCATTATTTCTTTTAAAGTCCTATTTTTTCTTTCAGCAATTCATTTTGCTGAGGTGAGTAAGGAGCGGTGGTTTGATGAATTATTTCATGTTCTTTACAAAACTCACCAAAAGGTGATTCATATTCACCATCTCTATCACTTTTTAGTTTTTTTTTAATTTTCTTACCAAGTTGATTTTCAACTTCATTCTTATATTAAATGAAAGTTTCTAAAGTTTCATCATTGGTTCAAATTAAATAAACATAACTATATCTAGTATAGTTATCTATAAAAATGATAAAATACTTTTTTCCACCTCTAGTTTGAATTGATTTAAAATCACAAATGTCACTATGAATTAATTCAAGTGGTTCCGTATTTCTTTCAATTGAATGGAAATGAATTTTAGTTAGTTTTGCTTCAACGCAAATTTCACATTTATGATTTAAATCAATGTCAAATTTAGGTAAACATTCCATATTAATTAATCTACGCAAAAATCCATAATTAACATGTCCAAATTTACCACGCCATAAATTTGAAGACTCAAGCAAGTAAGAAAAAGATGTATTTTTATTAATAACAGAGGATACAACAGTCATTACATTCATTTTGAAAAGGTCATCAAACATGTAACCTTTTTCTACACACATCCCGTTTTTGGTAAGTAAAACTTGTCACTTTCAAAAACTAGCCTAAACCCATTTTTACTCAACAAAGATCTAGAAACAAGATTCTTGCGAATGTCCGGTACTTGCAGCACATTGTTTAGAGTGAGTTCTTTTCCAGATGTCATCTTCAGAATAATTTTTCCTTATCCTTCAACTTTAGAAGTCGAGGAGTTGCCCATAAAAAGTTGTTCACTGTTGTCCATTGTAGAGTAAGATGTGAATATTTTTTTGTTGGTACAAATATGGCGAGTAGCACCAGTGTCCACCCACT